TGGCCAAGGACATAAGTCACAGGTGCCCACAGTGCACTCAGGTAAATCCAAAAAGAAATCTACCAGAGATCCACCATCAAGCCAGAGGTACGTCACCTGGGGAACATTGGGAAATAGATTTCACGGAGATGAAATCTGGACCAAACAGACTCAGGTATCTGCTAGTACTGGTGGACACTTTCACAGGATGGCCAGAAGCCTTCACCACACGGTCTGAGTCTGCCCTGATAGTTGTTAAAAACTCCTATCTGAGATAGTCCCACGATTTGGTCTTCCCTTTACTCTGGGGTCTGATAATGGTCCAGCTTTTATAGCCCAGATTACAAAACTTGTTTCACAGGCTTTACACATTCATTGGAAGTTACATTGTGCCTATTGGCCACAGAGTTCTGGCCAGGTAGAAAGGATAAACCGAATTTTAAAGGAGGCTATTGCCAAGGTAGGGTTAGAAACTGGCGAAAACTGGGTGAGTCTCCTTCCTTTTGCCCTCTTGAGGGCCCGCTGTACTCCCTATGTTCAAGGGATTACACCCTTCCAGGCAATGTATGGTCAAGTCCCACCTCTTCTCCCAAAGCTCGGGGAAGAAATTTTCATGTCAATCTCTAACCAAGAGCTTGTTAAGTCCTTACAGGTACTTCAAGTCTTCACTGCAGGCAACTCATTCTTCCGACACCTGTGACCACAGCCAGAAGAACAGAGCAGCCTAAGCCGACTGAGGATGCGCCTACAGGATAGAGACAATCAGAGAAGATCCCAGTCTAATTGATATGAGGGATTGTTCTCTAGGCCCCCACGGTTGACCACCCTACTGACCGCCTTGGCTGGGCCCCTGATACTTTTATTGTTAATCCTAACTGTAGGACCCTGTGTCATCAACTGTCTAGTTCGTTATGTACAGGACCAAGTACAAACTGTCAAACTAATGGTATTGCTTTCCTAATATAATATGTTAGCTGACATAGAGGAAGAAACTGAGGAAATAAGGATCTGATTCCCCCAGAAAACCAGTGGGGAATGTGAACACATAACTGGTAAACACATAAAGGATAAAAATTACTAAGCTATTGGGTGGAGGGAAAAATGTCAGTTTGACCCAAGAAAGAGAAACTGTGCTTGATTGTTAGTTTAGTTTGAAAACAACGTATGCTTCTGAGAACTTTCTGAACTTTGCAACACTTGCTTGCTGGAACCTATCGGTTCCAGCCCTTGCAAAAAAAAAAAAAAAAAATTGTTCAAAAAAAAAAGAAAGAACTTGTAAGAGATGCAAATCTTGGACCTGGCTCAGAAAGACTAAAGCTCAAACTTATCTTTGATTCGGGGCTGCTCAGCATCTCCCTGCATGGAGAATAGACTGACAGCCGCCGGCCCAGCTAATAAAGGCTCTTAAAATTCCAATTTTGGATTCTGGTCTTGGTTCTTTATTCAGGGTAACCCATTACAAAGAGGATTGCCACAATTTGAGGCCAGCCTCCTACACCGTGAGTTTGAGGACAGCTAATCTGCATAGCTAGACCCTGTCTCAAACAAAACAACACAGAACAAAATCAAACCACCCAGAACAGGAAACTCTGATGTATACACACAACTGTATTCATTCTGACCCATGTGTACTGAGTAGCACTGAGGTCAACAAAACAAAACCAGGAGCAGGGGAGCAGCTTTAGGGCCAGCATAGCTCCCCATGGCACTGGACCGCAGAACCACGCCATCAGGGGTAAAGCCACATGTGGATGTAGGAGAGACCTTAGACAGAGCCAGTGAGCCACTGGGTTTTTTTTTAAAAGAAGGCTCAAGGCTTACAGCAGTTCATGTAATCTAGAACTTGGGGAAGGAGGGGCTAAAGACAGAGCCACTGCAGCTACTCATTGCTTTGGTTGTTCCCAAGGTTGGGGAGATAGGGAGGAGTGATGTCACCTGAACACAATATCCCCTCCGCCCCTTATCCCAGAGTACACTCCACACTGGCAGCTTTGGGCTTTAATGTAAAACCCTGTGACTAAGGAGCCAAATAGGTGTGACCTACAATCTCAACCCCTTTTCCTTCCAATACCTAATCCCCTCCATTAACAGTGTGCTTTTGCTGAGGGAGCATTTCTGCTCGGGACCTACCTGTCTACTCTTAGTAAGAGTGTTGCTCTAAAGTGGCTCAAAAATACTAAGAAACCAGGGACCTTATGTTCTTTCCCAGTGAATGGCAGTTTTGTTTTTTTGGTTTTTTGTTTTTTTGTGAGACAGGCTCTCATTATGTAGTTCAGGCTGGCATGAGCTCACTATATAGCCCAGGCTGGCCTTGAATTTCTAGCAATCCTCTTGCCTCCGCCTCCAGAGTGCAGAGATAACAGGCGTATGCCACCACACTTAGCAATTTTTCTTGATTTAAAGGCTCACAAGGAGTTGAAGACATTATTTATAGGTAAGAAATGAAACACAATCTATCTTCATAACGTACAAATTGAACATGAGTTCCATTTCACTACAAGTCCTGCATTTCAAAATGCAAACACGTTTAGAAGTTAGCAGGCATCACTTGCAAGATGGCTATGAGTTGGGCGTGCTTGCACCCCACTGTGAGGAGTGCAGTGGCCCCACTCTGGACTTAACACTTCAGGGAGGCTATCCTAATAGAGAAACATGTATGAAGATTTTTTGTTTTTGCAAAGGAAAATCGGAAAATTAAAAACAGCATAAATATGTAAAAACAGAACAATTTCGTATGTGGCATACAGCACATCAACTAGAAAGAATGTTTTTGAGCCTGAGAAGAAGCTGAATTAAGGACTAATTAAGAGCACATGATCTGTGGCCACTCAGATCTGAGTTTTAATTCTGACTATAGCATTCTGAGATTTAGGTCAGCTTCAATTCTAAGCTTTGGAGGAAAGGATGCTTTTATACTACAGAGATCTGTCAAAGCAGCACCTTAGCCAAGTGGTCAAACTCGGCCCCACTTGGTACTGGAACCAACAGTCATTAAGCACCTCCTGATGAGATGCAGTGGGGAGGACACACTCTTCATATAAATGCTAATGGTCCCTAAATTATTTAAAATGAGGAATCATGAACCAACCTATTACATGGAGTCCTGAACGATATCCCATAGTCTTTAAAAAATGTCAACTTAAAAACAGGACTTCATTTAAAGTCTGATATGACAACTAAACACAATGTAAGATGAAGTGCCATAATAGCAATTTACTTTGAAATAGTTTAGCACACAGTACACGCATGCATGCATGTGTACACGGATTAACAGGCAGATGGGGGGAATGCAATAACAAGGAAATGTAGCAAGTATCAACTAATAGTAAATTCAGGTGAAAAGTACTGTGATAGTCACTGAACTACTTTTACTAACTTAGAGGTGTGAAATAGAGATTAAATTTATTTCCTCACATAAATATCTGGGCTGTCACAAACACTAAATGAGACAGTACACAGGAAGTACTCAGCACAGTGCCTGGAACACACCAAACAAGCAAGAAATGTTGGCAGCGTCATTGTTCCTAAGGATTTTCACCTCTCCACCTCACGGCACATGGTAAGATCACAGTTTCCTATCATTTGTGAAGTGCTGTGGTCATGTGACTGGTTCCGCCTGTCAAACAAGATGAGTAGTATCTGCCAGGTTCATGGCACACCTATAATCTCAGCATTCCAGTGGCTGAGGTAAGAGGATTGCCTGAACTAGTAGTGAGACCCTGTCTCAAAAAACAAAGATAAGCAACACCTGTCACTTCTACATGGGTGCTTCTAGCCACTAATAAACTCACTATGCTCCCTCCAGTTATGCAGTGATACAGGAACACAAGCTGAAATAAAGTAGCTGGGTTACTAAGCCACTATGGTGAGTCTTCCTGCTGATTCATGCTGGCTCCGCAGAACAAGTAAGTCACAAATTTCTGCTATATTCATAAAATTAGCTTTAGGAACTGTTTGTCACTGCAGCCTAACTAACTCACAAATCCACAAACTACAGACCTTCAATCAGATCCTGCCCACAACTTGTTTTTGTATATCAAGGTTGACTGGGACCCAAACATGTCTTTATGTGTTGTCTGTGGCTTCTTAGGTACTTGTAGTTGAGGAGCTGCAGTGGATTATGGTCTGCAAAGAGGAAAATTCTGATGTGCTGTTTTTCACAGAAGAGCTCCAGTTTGCTGAGTCTTTTTTTTGTTTGTTTGTTTTGTTTTTTGAGACAAGGTCTCACTATACAGCCCAGGCTCCCTTGAGCCTTAGCCTCTTGAGCACTGGGATCACAGGTGGGCACCACTAGGCCCAGCGAGTTTGTCAAGTCTTGACCAAATCTACTTTGACTGACACAATCAAGAACATTGGTGACAAGAGAATCCAATCATTTATCAAACATGACTATACTAGCTGTGTGACCTTAAGTAAGTGACTTAATATTTCTATGAGTTTTTAGTTGCGCCCTGTAAAAAGTGGGGGTAAAAGCACCATCTACTTTGTAGGCCTACTGTGAGATAAATTTTTACACATAAAATACTGAGAAACAAAAGCCAGAAGCTTGGAAGGGGAGTGCTGGAGTAGGCAGAAGTAGGGGTGGGATGTGAACTGACGGATATAAAATTGCTAAGAATGTAGTGCAGTGTAAGCACTCAAAAATGGTTCCAATTTTTCCTCTAATTATATAAAAATATATTTGAACAGATATAGAAATATAGACATAATAAAAATGTTTAATACTGAAAATTTGTTAAAATTTCTAACATTTCACAAAACATCTTTTGTTGACATTCTACAAATGATGCCATCCAATAATGTCCCAATGCTTTCTTCTTGTGAAGACAGTTTATATACCTGTAATGAGACAAATAATACTTCTCTGACATATTCATGGACTACTAATTATTATTTTACCAACATTTATAAGTGAAATTTTCATTCAATTATTGGGTTAATGTATGAAATCATGAATCACGAATGTCATTAAAATATTCAAAGCAGATGAAAATTCATTACTTATCTCAAATATTTTCTTTAAAATGCAGTTATGAACATAAAAATGTTCTCTCTACATTAAAATGTATTTGTATCAATTTTAAAAGCATTCATCTAGATACTAATTTCATACTATAGCCAACATTCTAAACATACTACATAATCTTGAGAACTAAAGATATTCACCTTATAGTGGAGAATATTTTTATCAACACATTTCTAATTGTACTTTACACGTACCTCCTAGCTCTTCCTACCTCTAATTATTCTTAAATAATTTTAAAAATTAACATTTCTTAAAAGGCCAAACAAATAGGTGCATTTTTTGTTTGTTTGTTTGTTTAGTTTGAGTCAGGATCCCCTCTGTCATGCAGGCTGGCCTTGAACTCATGGAGATCCTCCTGCCTCAGCTTCAAAAGTGCTGGGAATATAGGCATGTGCCACCATGCCTACTTAGGTGCACTGTTGATCAATAAATCAGCATTATTCATCTGTCAACTCTAAAAATATAAATCTACAAACCTTTTTGACTTCTGAAATATTTGTTATTTCAGGAAGATTTTGCAGAGAAACCTGAAGACCTTCTACTTGAGATATTAGGTACTCTTGATTTATTTGCTTTTCCCCCTCTTCAACATAAACAATTAGAACTGATGTGTCATTTGCTGAGACACCAAACTTTTTCAAAGCTTCTGATATCTAAGGAAAAGGAAAAAAAAGAATAAACTAGATCCGAAACATCTCTCTGTGTGCCTCCTTCCTTAGTCAAGTGCTTCCTGTTTTTCATATCCTAGTTTTTCCCCTCCATAATCCCTTCCCAGCATCTACTGTTTTGGCCTCTAAAGTTTTGCCTGCTTAAAGCTGCACCTTGCCCCTGCAAAGTCAAGATCACACTTCTTGGGGCTGGGGATTTAGCTCAGCGGCAAAGCGCCTGCCTGGCAAGTGCAAGGTCGTGAGTTCGGTTCCTGGTACCGGAGAAAAACCGAAAAACCAAAAAAAAAAAAAAAAGATCACACTTCTCCACATTGCACATAAAGAGACCTCCCTTCTGGCCCAACTGACCTCCCACCCATATGCTCTGGCCAGTCTGGGGTCGGTCTGGGGCTGCCAGTGTTTCATACTCTTCTGCTTATGCTTACACTTTGTCCTCTGTCCCTTCCCCCTTTCTAGGCCTGGCTGCCGAAGCCACACTTGAGGGCCCAGGGCCACCGCCACCACCACAGCCTCCTCCCTCCTGTGCATTCACACTCCCATGGTGTCATTTAACTTAGAGCAGCTTAACTTTTGTCTTTTTTTATCTGCCTCTCCTTAGAAATATATTTTCTTCTTTTGCGTCTATAACTAGAACTGGAACAGGAATATTGTCCTGAATTATTTCAAAATATCTCTATGAAACAATCATGACCTGGTAAATTTTATTACAGGTACTGGGGACTTTTATTACTATGCTGAGATAACTGCATTTTAAAACTTCACAATCATCTCTATTTTAACCAAACCATAAGATTCCTAATTTTCTCTTGATGATACCAGTATCTGGTTGTGCTAGTAATAGTACTAGTAATACTGAAACCCACCAGCAATAAGTCATTTTTTTCATGTCTTACATGCATGAAGAATGTTATTAGCTCAAGAATGTTTATTAAGAAAAGTATCCCTACAAGTATTTCAAACCATGAGGGGCCAGGGATATAGCTCAGCAGCACAAGCACTTGCCTGGCAAGCGCAAGGTCATGAGTTCAATTCCCACTACAAAAAAAAAAAAAAAAAAACAACAAAGAAACCAACCATGAAATCTTCCTGTGCACTTGGTATGTGAGTGAGCATGGATTCAAGACTGCTCTAGGAACCATAAAGTTCCTGGAACTGTATATGAAAAAGCCATGTACCATTCCCTCAAGGAGTTTACAGGAGAGTGAAAGACATACATCAATGTAGAAAATGTCTATGCCTAATTTTTATCATTTGGATTTCTGTCAATCTCTTAAGCAAAAATACTTGAGAGATCTTCCTGACCTTACATGGTAAGAAGGGCAGGTAAAATTAGCTTTATTTAATTTAACCAAACTTTTGCTTTACTCAGACAGAAACTGACTCCAAAGCTTATTTGTCTACATAGTGCTAAACCTCAATCTCAGGGCAGAGCTCTCTTTGTGATTATTTTAGTTTATTACTAGCAACTGCTTTCCCAGAATTTAACCTCCACCCCAACATTAGAGAAGACATATGTTATTATGACAAAGTCAACAGAAATAAAGTCAGTAAGCTCCACATTACGTTGTTATTTGGGGACAGGTTGAAAATAATTTCAGTATATAGAGTTCGTGTCTTCATTCTTCCCAGTTTGTAGAGGTGAACTGCTTTGTTTGCTGCCACAAGTATCTGAAATGGGTCAACAATCTACCAAAGAGAATATAAATAATTACAAGGGAGAAAAAAAAGATTACACGGGGAGAATTTGAGAGAATCTAAAGATATACTCCTATCTTACGGTAGCTTTGGTATGTAGTTGTTTTACTTCATCAGACTCATATGCAATATATTTTCAAAATTATAATCTGAAGGTCCAGGTAGTTAAAAAAAAAAGTCAGACTCTTAAAGCTTCAAGGAACTTAAACAGTAGAAAGATTTTAAAATAACATTATTGTGGACTAATATGGGAAATGCTATAGTCTAACATTTCACCTGTATTGTCTTTAGTGCTCAAATTAGTCAATGAATTCAGTATTATTCACATGTAAAAGATGAAGTCCTTGAGAGGTAAACCACATGTAGGTTAAGTCCCAGCTCCGTCACTTACCACCCTGAGAACTTGGGTAAGTTCCTAGTGTTTTATCTGTTAGGCCTAAAAGTAATAGTACTTACTTGGTGAGGCTGCTGAAGATGAGGTGAGTTAGGTTACATAAAGTACTAAGTACAATGCTACGGATAGTGTAAGCGCTATGTAAGTGTTTGCTCTAACTTACTCAGAGTCATAGTATGTGGCAAGTTGGATTAAGTCCCAAAGTGTGTGCTCTTAACCACTGGGCCATACCTTCTCAGACACTGTCTTGTTCAGAATCCTCATTTCACAGATGGGATGCTGGACAGCTGGGCATGTGCTAGATCACAACTGTGGTCAAAGCTACACCACGACCTTTTCTTTTCCTTAGGGCAGAGCCTGGCACTTCTGCTTCCATTCATTGTCAAATTCAAGGCTGGCTAAGTCTGACTTGGACAAGAACTTTTCACCTAAAGGTGGTAGCATTTTAGCCTAAACTACATCATGAGAAATTAACATTCTGAAAATTCCCTTAAGTTTCACTCAGTTCCATACTTCGTACTTACCACTGTAGGATTTATTAATGACCCGTCAATGCTGCCTTCCATGGCCTTTTTCCTCAAGTCTCCAGCATTTTTCACATCTTTAAATAACAGAAGGGTCACCCTACATTCTGGAAACAGGTCCAGCTGATGTGTTAACTGCATTTCATAGACAAACAGGATTCTGCTGCACCAAACCTAAAAAGACTAACAGATTTCTTTTGTTTAAAAGTTAACATTAGCTTAGCATTGTGGTGCAAGTCTGTAATCCTAGCACTTGGAAGGCTGAGCCTGGAGGTTCAAGGCCAGTCTGGGCTACATAGTGAGTTCAGGGCTGGCCCAGACAGAATAGCAAAACCCTGTCTCAAATAAAACAAAACAAAATAAAATACAAAATTTAACATTATCTCTTTAAAAAAAAATAGCTTTGCTAACAAGTGAAACTAATTGTTAGTATGAGCCAACAGAGCTGTTAAACTAGAAAAACCTATTCCCAAACACATGTGGCTTCCTCATGCTTTCTTCTTAACCCTGTTGAGGTGTTTCTAGTTCTTTTCCCATTGATGGGAAAGGGTCACAGGAGCTATCCGATCCTTTGTCTGTCCAGATGAGAGGCTCATACACATGACTGAGGGACTGCCTGCCCATCAGACAACCAGGAACAAAATATTAGGAAGTTGTGGAATATAGGCTAACTACGGTATTAATCAAACTTAGCTCTTTAACTTTCTGATCTCACTATTTTATTTCCATTTTAGCAGGACCTGGACACAAATATTAAGAAAATAATTGTAAAGGAGAGCATGGTGGCACTTAGAAAGCTGAGGCAAGGGGATTGCTGCAAGTTCAAGGCCATCCTGAACTACACAGCGAGACCCTGTCTCAACAACAACAAAAAAACTAACAAACAAAAAATAATTGCAAAGTATAAAGCATCACACTTGACCCAGACATTCACCCCATGCATGGGAGTTAGCAGAGAAAATACAATTGTTAAAAAAAATAATAATACTGGTCCTTTCTTAGACATAGTTTAGCAGAGAAGAACAGGTAGGCATAAAAGGGAAGAAGAGGGAGACAAAAGTATACAGAGACATAAAAGTACAGGGTAGGGATGTCACTCAGTGACAGAACTGCTGGCCTAGCATGCTGAAGGTCCTGGGCTCTATTCCCAGCACTGGGGATGGTGGGGGAAGGCAATATAAAAGGTAATCTGAATAAACAGAAAGAGGTAACTAGATATTTGAATGGAAAGCTGAGTACTCTAAAATCTGATTTTTGAAAACAACTTTAACTTTTTTTAGGGGGTCCTGGGCATTTAACCTAGGCCCTCACATGACAAGTGTGTGCTCTACCACCTAACTACAGTACATCCTTGGCCCCAAACAGTTAATAGTTTTTAAACAGTTAATACTTTAGTGGGGCCATTTTCTAAATTCATTTCATCCTTTTTCTCTGTAGGCTCCATTTCTAGGACTCTTTCTCAAAGAATTAATTCAAAATTTGGGTGTTATAATAAGACGTGCAGTATCTTAACAGTGAAAGGTTAAGAACCTATCTAGCCAATGACAGGATTAGTTATGATTAAACAATCATTAAAAACTGCACACTTAGTAAGGCTTGTTGGTACAGATCTATAATCCCAGCACTCTGAAAAACTGAGGCAGGAGGAACACAAGTTCATACCCAGTCTAAACAATTTAGTGACTTAGCAAGACCAGGTTCAAAATGAAATAAAAAGGGCAGGATATAGCTCAGCACAAAGGCCAAGGGTTCAGTGCCCAGAACTAAACACAGAACAAAAAACTGTACTGTTGATGATTTGTGAAAATAGCAGTAACATTAAACACTTTGATGGAAAACAAAACGAAATATGGTTGAATTTTAGGGTTTTTGAAAAGCTGCATATAAAGAAAAAAACTGAAAACAGCAAAAAGTTAAAAAGTTATCTCTGATTTGTTGGAATTGTATCTTAATATTTCTGTTGTGAAAAAGGAAAAAATAATATTTGTAAATATCCTGGAACACAGCAGTACAATCTTTAGTCATATTCATATCTAATTTAAAAAATGGATACCAAAAGTTATACTCAGTATAATACCAATTACACAAAAAGATACACAGGGAGAAAAAAAAGACTTGAAATACCTAAACAGTCATCTTGATTAATGACTAGATGGTTTTTTTCCCAAACTGGCAGAATTGAACTCAATGTCTTCACATGGAGTTACATCTGCCATTTTTTTTTTTTTTGAGACTGGGTCTTGCTAAGTTGGTAAAATGCCCGGGTCTGGGCTTGAATTTTCAATCCCCCTGCCTCAGCCTGCCAGAGTGCTGAGCCTATAGGCATGGACCACATGTCTGGCTTATTAGGTGATTTTTAATGTCTGGATTTAAAAAGAAAAATTCTCACTGGGCATGATGACACACATCTGTAGTTCCAGCATCCAGGAGGCTGAGGCAGGAAGATCACTGAGAATTTAAGGCCAGCCTGGCTACATAGTGAGACCTTCTCAAAACAAACAAAAACTCAAAATATTATTTTGTGGTGTATGTTGTGAATTTTCAACAGGGAACTCACAAAAAAACATGAGAACTTACAGTTAGGGAAGGAAAAAAAAATTGTCTATTCTTTTAACACAGAGGAAACATTAAAAACCTCAAAATAGTTAGTTCTTATTTAGTGTAATTCACTTACTTAGGCCAGAAAATTTAGAATCATTTTTGGATATTGTTATATGGCTTCTCCTCTGTGAAACTCATGTCGAAATTTAATTTCCATTATAAGATATTTAGAGATGGGAACAGGTGGGGCCTTGAAAAGGTGATTAGGACTGGGTCTTCATAAATGTACCAAAGGTTTATCTCCAGAGTGATTCATCTCTACAAGCCAATTTGACTAGATCATCTCCTTTGTCTCTTGTCATATGACACCCTATGCAGCCTCTCTTAGGCTGTATTCAGCAATGACACCACTAAATACTGCCCCTGGACCAGAACTGTTAGATAAAATTAATCACTTTTCTTTATAACTCACTCCATCTAAGATATTGTTATGAGCAACAGAAAATGGACTAATACATCTATCTTTCAAATTCCACATCTAATCCCCATAGTCTTGAATTTTTGACACCTAAATAGATTTTGATCCATCCGTTTCTTTCGCACACCCTCTACCACTTACTTCCCTTCTTCTATAGCAGTGGCCTCCTAAGAGTGGTGTCCTCACTGAAACCCCTGCCTTCCTGTCATCCAACTTCCACCCGCAGTCACAGTGATCCTTTCAAAACATAGATAAGACTGTTCACTTCTGCATTCTGAAAACAAAGCCCCAACTTCATGTCAAGTTGTCCCATCTCTAAGATCTGGGAGCTGCTTACCTCTTCTACCACAATCAGCTTCCAGTCACAAACCCACTGAACAGGTAGTTTCTCTTTTTCATGTCTTTTGCTGACTCATTCCTTCCTCCTGCCTTCGGGGTCCACTTACTAGAGCAATAAGAGCTCGGGGTTTGTACCTCTGTTATACCAGCTCCTTCTTAGTAGTGAGCACGTTAATCATGCGCCTATTCGTGCTGTTCTGTTTGAGACAGTGTCTCACTGTGTTATCTAGGCAGGCCTCGAACCCCTAGATTCACAGGCAAGCGACACGGCGCCCTATGGGCTTGTTAGTTTGTCTCCTTGCTAGACTATATTTCTTGGAACAGAGACGCTGTCATTTCCATGCCGCATTCCCAGGGCCAACCATGGTAGGCACGTGATAAACATCTGCTGAGGAAACACTGGTACTACTCCTAGAAAACTGTTAAAGCTACTGGGGTTGGAACTTCCCACACCTATCCACTCCTGCTACAAAACTCACAGTCCGCTGTCCGCCTGCAGGGACGATCTTCCCCTCGGAAACAAATCCCTTAACTTCCGGAAGTGGTGCCTAGTCCCCGCCCTCCGGAGCCCGTTTCCTGATTAGCCGGCTCGGGTCGCCCTGTCTTTCTAGTTTGTAGTCGCATTGGTCCATTCTCTTAACGTGCAAGTCTGAGACCTGTTAGCCGACGCAAAGAACCGGTGTTATTACATCACTTCCGGCGGAGGCGGAAAGGAGGCACCAGCCACCGTTGGAAGTCGAGGGCTTAACTTCCGTTGGGGCTATCGCGAGACGTCTGGACTCCTTCCTATATAAAGTGTTAAGATGAACTCTTACGTGGGTTTCCACTGCTCGAGATTCCACAGTTCACTGTAAGGACAAGCGGGACTCAGTTTGCTTCGTGCTTTCCCAGCAGTCAGTCAATTACGGAGGGTCATGGGCCGACTCTGCTCAGTGATTTGCTTCCGGGACAAACCGGAAAAATACAGGCATAAAGCCAGCCTATCTGGAGAAGGCTCCGAAATTTGATGTGTAATCTTTAGTATAAGCCTCCAAAAGGGTGGTGAAGAGGCTATAAAGTAATTTCCATTTTAATTATAGTTAGGGCTTCTCAATACTTTGCAGAGAGAATATAGCTGGTGCGTATGTGCTATGAAAAAAAAAAATGAGGGGTGATGCGATGTTGCTGGTGTAACTCCTCTAAATAGGGTGTTTAGAAACATCGACCAAAAAGGGTTACCTGAAACAATGATCGGAGAACGTCTGAAAGCGAAGTCAGTATACCTGGAAGAGAGCACTCCAGGCACAAAAACAGTATTCTCGGGGATTGTATAGACAACATTCTTTTTTTCTTTTTTCTTTTTTTTTTCCCAGTGCTGTGCGCCAACCTAGGGGCTTGTACACAAGCATTCTGCCACTGAGCTGTATCACCAGGCTGTATTTTCTTTTTAAATTCATTCTGACGATGCATCCAGATTGTATTTAAAAAAAAAAAAAAACTAAACTAAAGCGCAAAAACAATTGAGTAGATGACATAACTGACACTTCACAAAAAGAAAGATTCTTATTATTAATCAGGTGGGAAATACAAATTTAAAATACAAGATAATACTCCATACCCACATAATGGCTAAAATGTAAAGATGCAGAATTGAAAACCTATGTTGCTGTTCTGAATATAAAATGCTATCACCACTTTCAAGAAGGTCATTTCTTCAAAAATGTTAAACATATACTTACCTCATTCAGTAGTTCCACTCCTCAGTATCTACTTAGGAGTACTGCAAACATGTCCGTGCAAAGGCTTGTGAAAAGCAAGTTCACCCTGCACTGATTAGCAACATGTCTGAATGCAATGGAACAGAACATTCCATACACAACTAGAGATACGTAAAGAGGCACCACAGAAGCCTGGGATTTATTGCAAGCTTGTCTCCCAAGATTCAGGAAAGCTGTCCACAGTGGATAGAAGCTCTTCTCCAAATACTTCTTTTCCACCATAGCTAGGGATCCCAAAAAGCAGCCCACCCTCTGGTTTATACCCTGGAGGCAACATGGCATACTGGGATAAAACAAACTACAACCTATTACTAGAGGCAAATGGAACAGAGCCTAGCCTACTCCCTCTTTATTGTAAAACGTTGCATTCCCACCCATTGTAGTTATTCTTGACAACCTCAAGTGAGAAAGGTGGGAAGAACTGGCCAAGTCCAAGGGCACCCTGAGCACTGTCCTCCTGTTTATATGTGAAAGTTCCTATTAACTTTACTTCTAACAGGTGAGAATTATAAAAGCCCAATAGCATATCAATGGATAAATTGTGGAAAACTCAAGACAATGAAATACTCAGTAATACAGAGAAAATGAACTAGATTGTTCAACTATCAATCTACAAAATATACTGATCAAAACCAGAGAATATAAAATTACAGTATTGAAGGATTCCATTTCTACAAAATTCTAGGAATGACAAATTCAGAGTGACTAAAAGCAAATTAGTGATTATGTGGGATGTTGGGATGAAACTTCAAGGTGAAGCCCAGTGTTTTGTATCTTGCTGTGGTGTTACACGATCATAGGAACATGTCAAAGCACTTTATAAAAGTACATTTTATACAGTAAAAATTGTGCCTCAGTAAAGTTGATTAAAACACATTGAAAAAGTCATACATACCAGCTTGTTTGTAACATTAAAAGCTGGAAAAAATGCACATGTTCAAGTGAATGGATAAGCTGTCATATATAAAGGTATCTGCAATGAAATGCAATTTATTAATAAAAGGAATCTGGGGCTGGGGATATGGCTCAGCGGTACAGCACCTGCCTAGCAAGCACAAGGTCCCGAGTTTGATTCCCGGTACCCCACCCCCACCCCACCCCCAAAAAAAGGCAGAAAATCTAACTCCTGCCGGGTGTGGTGGTGCAAGCCTGTAATCCCAGCACCGGGAGGCTGAGACAGGAGAATCGTTGTGAGTTCAAGACCAGCCTGGGCTACAAAGTGAGCTCAAGGTCAGCCTGAGGTGCATTATCGAGACCCTGTCTCAAAAAGACAAAAAAAAAAAAAAAAAAAAAAAAGGAATCTGCTATTCTACATACAGTAACATGGATGAATCTTAAAATGCTGAATAAAAGCATCTAACCATTAACAGTACATGCAGCATGATTCTATTTATGTAAAATTAATCTATAGTGACAGCAGATCAGAGGTTGCTGGGATAAGGGGCCTGGTGTGCAAAGAACGAACTGCAAAAGAGCAGGAGGAAACACTGGGGTAGCAGATATGTTCTACTTTGATTGTAATGACTACATGGGTGCGTACAGATCAACACATCTAATTGGTTAATTTATAAATAGGTACAGTGTATTATATTTTCAATTATGTCCCGAAAACTTTTTAAAAACAGTAAGACACTCAACCTCTTTATAACCATAGCTACGATAAATCCCAGCACACTGCAAAGCCGAGGTGGGAGGATGGCAAGTTAAAACTTAGCCTGCGCAACTTAGCACGCCCCTATCTCAAATTAAAAAATGACGAAGTCTGAGGATATAGGCCAGCGTGAAGGCCCTGGGTTCAACCCTTACTGAAGGAAACAAAACGCATCAACCCTGATAATATTGAGTGCTAATGAAGATGTGAGCAATTGGAACTCATGTTCCTTGTTGACAGAGATGTAAACAGTATACACTGGAAGTTTCCCAGTTTTCCCTTGCCCCACAACTACCTTGAAGCAACTCTACTCCAAGCAAAATAAAAGGATGTTCTGGTAAAAACCCAAATGCAAAAAATGTTTACGACAGCTCTGTTCAAAATTCAAAAGCAGAATAGTACCTTAGCAACACGAGGGAATGAATGATTGATCCACCCAGTGATGTCCATGAATCTCATAAACAGTGTACTAAATCAAAGAAACCACATTTGGAAAGAGACACTCTCAATTTTTCTACTTAGATGACACTGTAAGAAAAGGCAAAACTAGTGATCAGAAACAGATGAGCAGTTGTGAGCGTCTGGGACTGGTGGGAGTGATCAGCTACAAAGCAGTGGTAGAATCTTGTGTCAGGGGGGATTCCTATATTTTGATTGTAGCGGTGGTATTTGTCAAAACTCACTGAATTATATTCCAAGACAGCATCCATTACACCATTTTTAAAAGTCATCTCTGAGGTAATGTTCCCTTTACCTAGAGCTATGGGGTTAGCTATATCATTATTCATCATAGGCAAGCTGGTTGAGAAGCTCTATTTTTTTTTTTTTTTTGTACCAGGAATCGAACTCAGGACCTTGCTCTTGCCAGGCAGGCACTTGTGCCACTGAACTATATCCCCAGCCCCTAACAAAAAAAAAAGCTCTAATTTAAAAAGGTGTTAAATGAGAACATTCTTATGGGTATCAACATTGTCCTACCAACATTCTATGTAACTTGCATAAATATCGGTGGCTTGTCTTAAAATTAGTCTAACCTTGGAAGTGTTAATACACATTCCAAACACTATTCCCATTATCATGTGAGTATAACCCCTAAAGTGAAATCTGTGATTTTTTTCAAAGTCAAACCATGTATTTTATTGCTTTATTTTGTAAATTTGACTATGCAAACAATGTTCTAGGAAGTATCTGCTGCTTCAGCTTGTCTTTATTCTCTCTTCAGTATACTCATCTAAGTACAGAGGAGTTAACACCACCCTTTGACTCATTCTCAGATCATCCATTAAAATGGATTTTATTTTTCTGGCCAAACTACAGATATGCTTCTCTAACGGCCCACTTACCACATAATTTTTTTTTAATTTTTATTTTCCATTAGTACATGTTTGCAGTGTATCATGCTTATATTCCTCTCGGGGAGTTGAAAACCTGTAACTCTTGATATATTGTTACTTGGATATAACTGACATTTATTTGTTCTTAAAAGATACAGATATTTGTACAATTCCATGTCAAATCAGTGGAAAAGATTAGCTACCTGCCCTCCATGTGGTTGAACAACCAAAATCTTATGGCTGCCCAATTTTTGACCAGATTCTCTAGAAATCAGAGCCAGACACAAGGATTTAATCACTGGTATTTTATTTGAGATACGTTAAGAACAGAGTAGGAAGAATAAGGAAAATGTTAAGAGAAGCAAAAAACGATGTACGATGTATTGTAATGAGCTACTGCACTGGCAGGCTTTGCAATGAGCCAGGAAGACATGCAGTACGTTTGGCTGTGTGCTCACTCAGGAGACTGAACCTTCTCTGAAAGGGTTAGAAGGCAAAACTACAGCTCAGTAGACTACAGTAGGGACAAAGGAAGGAGCATTGCCTGCGTCTCCCTTTTGTCCTCTCCCTCTCATTAATCAAGAACCTCCAGAGGGAGCTGATTCCTCCACACTTCTGGATCATCCCCCACCCTTCAGTGGCAGCTCAGCAAGCCAGATCCCAAGGTCTGTAGAGCAGGAGCATCTCCTCTAATTTGAAGGTAGGGGCAGATCTGAAAGCAGAAAGGCTTGGCGTAGGGGTCAGAAGGACCATGTATGCCCAGAGTTAATGTGTTCAGCTCAGCTTGGGGATCTCAATAATGTATGCTGGCAAAGGCTAAAAAGGGCATTGTGGACCCAGAGGCAAACAACGCTGTCACAAAAGAGGAGGGGGTTGAGGGCCTCTACTGGTGCTTTAGATCCAGTGTT